GGAAACATTCTATGGGGAGTTACAATAATAACAATAATCTAGAGTAACAACTAAAGCAACTTAGGTTCGCAGTGAACAAGGAATCAATACTCAAATGTAAACACATAGCCTCAATAATTGTTGCGGCGTGCAACCCGCTCCATAATTACCATTATTGCGGCGTGCAACCCGCTCCACAATATCATTGTTGCGGCGTGCAACCTGACCCATATTACTTATCATATCTCATTGTTGCGGCGCGCAACCCGATCCTCATATATTATTGTTGCGGCGCGCAACCCGATCCTCAACATCATTGTTGCGGCGCGCAACCCGATCCTCACCTTTTACTGTTGCGGCGTGCAACCCGATCCTCAATATCATTGTTGCGGCGTGCAACCCGACCCTCACATATTATTGTTGCGGCGTGCAACCCGACCCTCAATATCATTTAACAGTCCGACTCCCCAAACAACAGTCACAATTAAGGGCATAAAACAAGTAAACATTTGACAAACATCCCGGCAAGGGAAAGAATCCAACAAGTTCAACCAGACGTCCCGGCAAGGGAATAATCAACAACGTTTTCTCTTTCTACTTTCTTATCTCACGATATCATTGGAGCCCAAGCTCCAAGNCACGATCCAGTTTCATAAGTATATAAGTGGTACGGACGTAGCCACACGATCCCACTATTATAGTATATAAGTGGTACGGCGTGCCACACGATCCCATAGTTATAGTATATAAGTGGTACGGCGTGCCACACGATCCCATATTATAGTATATAAGTGGTCGGCGTGCCACACGATCCCATATTATAGTATATAAGTGGTCGCCGCGCCACACGATCCCATATTATAATTCAAAATATCTGACTTTATAAAGAAGGCCCCATTAGGGGAATTCGACATAATACTTTAACCCGGCAAGGGTACAACTAACAGCCCAAATATCCCGACAAGGGAGAGTACATAATACTAGTCTACACGTCCCGGCAAGGGAATAATCACAACACATCCTCTTTTGAATCATTTCTTTCTCAACTATCACATTCTTGTTCGAACCAACGTTCCAAAATATACCAATCACAATTCTTCCTCAACCGTTAACATTATATGAAATTTATTCATTAGACAAGGTAGTGGTGTCACATCATTCGATTTAAAAACAATTAAGACTCACGATCATGCTAGACACCGATGTATAGATACTCGTCACCATGCCTATACACCGTACTCCACATTTAGCAAGTAGCAAATAACATCCTAATCCTATTCCCTCAAGCCAAAGTTAGAACAAACACTTACCTCAAAGCCTTAAAATCCACTTAATCCTCAACTATTGCTTTACCTCGCGGTTCCACCTCCAATTCGCTCGAATCTAATCACAAATTGCTCAATTACTTTAATAAACATTTTATGAATCAATTTGGATGCATAAAAATGAGTTTCCCAAGTTTTTCCCAAAAATTCCAAAATCGCCCCCAGGCCCACGTGGTCAAAACTCGAGGTTCGAATCAAAATCCGGTTACCCATTCCCCCACGAGTTCAAATATATAATTTGTTTTGAAATCGGACCTTAAATCCAGGTCCAACTCCCCAATTTATGGAAAACCTAGGTTCTACCCAAAAATTCCAATTTCACCCATGAAAATCTTTGATTTCAAGTGGAAAACATGTTTAATGATGTTAAAGATTGAAAGAATTGAGTAAAAATCAACTTACAAATAATTTGGGATGAAGTTTGCTCTTGAAAAATCGCCTATGGTGTTTGGGTTTTGAAAGAATGGTGAAAAGTGATGAAAATTCGACTAAGTATAAAATTTGCTGGGCCTCAGATATGGGAATTGCGAACCATGGTTCGCAATTGCGAACAAAACAGGGCTGGGAATTGCGACATTCTTAGTTCGCATTTGCGAACCCATGTCTGGTGGCCAGATTTCGCTTTTGCGAACATTCGATCGCATTTGCGACTAGGGCCACCTCGCATTTGCGAGCCAATGGATCGCATTTGCGATCCCAAGTCTTTTCCCCAGACTTCGCATTTGCGAAGTGTTGATCGCATTTGCGACCGTGCCCCATTTTCCCAGACTTTGCAATTGCGAAGCAATGCTCTCATTTGCGAGTCTTCCCTTCGCATTTGCGAAAATTGCAGAAGCCAGCATACCAGATTTTTAAAACATGAGAAATGCAATCCGATGCCTATCCAAAACTCACCCGAGCCCTCGGGGCTCCAAACCAAACATGCATACAACCTCAAAAACATCCTACGGACTTGCTCGTGCGATCCAATCGCCAAAATAACATCAAAATCATTGTATCAAGCCTCAAAACACATGATTTTTCTTCTAAACTTCATAAACTTTCAAACTTGGAACTTATAGTCCGAAACACGTCAAACGACGTCCGATTTCGACCAAACTTTACAGAAAGCGCTTAACACATATTTAAGACTTGTACCGGGCGTCGGAACCAAAATACGAGCCCGATACCATAGTCTTTTAACCAATTTTTTTTATTTCCATTTTCCTTAATAATTTCAGAAAAACAATTTCACGGAAAAATTCATATCTCGGGCTCTAGGCCTCGGAATTCGATTCCGGGCACATGCCCGAGTCCCATATTTTTCTACGGACCTTCCGGGATCGTCCAATCTCGGGTCCGGGTCCGTTTACCAAAAATGTTGACCAAAGTCAACTATAATCATATTAATATCAAAATTCTTCAAATTTTTCACGGAATTCACATATTTCAACATAACAGCTTTCCGGCTACGCGCCCGGACTACGCACGCAAATCGAGGCAAGTAAAAAAAAATGAGGTTTTAAGGCCTCGAAAGCACGGAATGGATGAGGAAATAGGTGATGACCCTTTGGGTCGTCACACTGGAACAGTGACTCACTTATACTTTAAGATACAATGTTGAAAAGCAAATAAAGGTAGAAGCAAGCAGTTGATATTGTCCTTATGAAAAATAACTTGAAGGATTTCAAACTTTGGGTACGATTCTGAACTACATTTTTCTAACTTTTGGTAGGGTTTAGAATTACTTTAATTTGTTGGTGGCTATATATATTTAACCTTTTAAATTAGATTTCAATTACCACACTTGATAGCCGGTCGATTGATATAACTTTTACTAAGAACAAGAGAGAAAAGAAAATTTTGATGAGAGACTAGAGATGAAAATGTATCATTAAATTTTTGTAAATTTATCACATATTTTTAGTTCTCTTTCGTGATTTTCAAGGAGTAGTTGTTGGTGAAATTCAAGTGATGAAAAATCAGTTCTTAGACCATATTATTGCAAGTCAATAGAAATTTATTGTAAATACACCCTTTGGGTCAAAAGTGCTAATATGATTTCACTCATTGAACATCGTAGCACCATACAATGAATTCAATATGTGGTTCTCTTTTTCTTTTGCTTTATTCTATTATTTTTTTTTGGTTGGTTACTAGAATTTTGATATCCCGATCATTTAACAGATTACCAAGCAAAAATTACTGAGAGGAAAGTTTACTAAGATCTCTTACATGATGGGCACGAGGATTAAGTAGAATTAATGCTTATGTAAAGATTATGGTTGTGCGATGGGTTGAGGACTTTCAGTAATAGAGATGTCTTCTTCAATATGAGTTTTCTTTACTTTCAGTTTTTAAGTATGTAAAAGCAAACAAGCATCTCACAGAGAACCCACGTGACTATGATTATTAAGATAGTAAAAAGAAAAAAATACTTAGGTGGGGCTTAAAAAAAATAGTCAATGAAAAGGAAAAAACTAACCGATATGCAAACTAATGGGACCAGAAAATCTATAACCAAAATGAAGCCAGGATCAGTAAGCTGGGAGAAAAAGAAGATACTACATTAAAGAATAATAACCGCAATTTAAATTAATTTTACATAGCTCATGAAATTTTTTGTGCTGATAGCTCATTGTTTCTTTCGTAACTTTCAGTATTCTTGTGTATTGGAGGAAGTAGTTATGGATGGACCAAAATCAGGATTAATTGTATGTATTGTTTGATTATTTTTTTCATGAATATTGTTTTCTCTATCAATAATTTTTTACTTTTCTTCCAAAAACTATCTTGTTATATATAAGTAATTCTTTTTTCTCTCTCTTAAGTCTTTGTAATTTAATTATTTAATCATTAATTATATGATAATTTTCATATTTAGAAGTCAAAATTTTCAAATTGACCGTAAAGTTTCTAAATCTCTAAATATTTGTGCACTTAATTAGTTTGCTTTTTCCTATGGCTAATCAAGTTGCATGATGATAAAGGAAATATTATAGCTTTGACTAAGTAAATCCTTTTATGCATGCATTTTCACAATGCTATCTTTTAACATCAAGGAGCTCAGTTAAACTAAATATTTATTCGTATCAGTTTTTCGATGATAATAAACAAAGCATATGATTAAATTACTGTTATTGTACTTGCTGCACGTGTTTCCTCACAGAGGACTATATATTACATTTTCAGGTTGAATATCATATCAACAACAAGAGTTTTAGTCAAATGGAGCAATCGAAGCGACAAAAAAAGTACATACATCAAGACATAAGCGAATTCAGAATTTAAATTTTATGGGTTTAACTTTTTGATTTTTTTAACATTGACACCATTATATTTTTAAAGTTATTGGTTCATATATATTATTTTTGCAATTTTAATGAATTTTCACTCTTAAATTTATAATCCATGTATGATAAAATATTTATAACTATGAATGCTATATAACTAATTCTGACAGACGCGGCTTACACGTGCAACGCACGTACTCTAAAACTAGTTCATCTAAAAGCAATAACAATTCTATCTCTTTCTTTGAATATTCTTCTTTTATTGTCTTATAACGGAACTTTTTTAAAAGAAAAAAAAGTAATTTTGACTTCACAAAAGTTTGACCAAACAAGTCATAAGCTGGTGTTTAGAATTAGGGGTTTAATTGAAATGGAGTACTAGCATAATACCAAGATTACCCTTTCGGAAAACGTAAAATCCAAGTAGCGTTGCCTAACAGATACAATTTGCACCAATTTGTCTCTTCACAAGAGGAAAGAAAAAGCTCCCAACTCATCCGCCGATCTCAATGGCCGCCTCATCGGCATCGGAGTCTTCATCGTCTTCTGGTCACCGGGATCGAAAGCGTTATCGGCGCCACCGCAAAGACAAAGATAAGGACGCTCTCAAGGTCCGCAAGAAGAGCCGCTCTCACACCAAACGTCGTCGTAGCCGTCATTCATCGTCCGACAGCTATTCTTCTTCCTCTTCCTCTGAAGACTACAGGTTTATTTACATAGATTAATTTGCTTTGGTGGAGAATTGTTTAAGGATTTGACGATCTAGTTTTATGAACTTAGGGTTAATTAGTTGTGTAAATTAATCCTAAGTGTTAATTCTAGGAAACAATTAGTTGCTGTGAAATGATTGTTCGAATTGTTTGCTTTTATTTGGTTATTCTATGTCGAAATCAGTTTTTTAGGCCTAAGTAGTATTCGGAAACTGCAGTATTCATCACTTGAGATGTTTGTCACCTTATCAATATAAATAGAAGGCGAGGTGTTTTCCTAGCGCCTTAGCTATACCTTTTAAGTCACTGTTAATTGCTGAAAGTTTAACCAAATGGGGAGGTCAGCCTTAGCTGGGACGAAGGCATCCTCTTAAGAAGATAAGAGACAGAGAAGTAATAGAAGTTTTAATATGGTAAAATATTGTTCTATTACGGTAATTTAATGTTAGAAAAATATCTTGAATTTTTTCTATTTAGTTGCTTGGTGATGAAGACATTGCTCTCAATAGATCCTACTGTTGGATCTTTGCCGAACTGGGGCAGAACGAGCAAATAAATATTGTTTTGTCACAGTTTCGACATGAGATATTGGGGTTCACCAGCTTGTTGGAACTTAGACTGGAAACTAGGGGTCAGAAAGAAAAAGGAAATGGAAGCTTTAAAAGTTCTCTCTTTCCAGAACAAAGGAATTCATTTGTATCCAAATTCTTAAAGGTCCTATTTTCTTTTGGAATATCTCAAATCCAAGCATGGGGCTTCTTGTTTGTTCTTAGAGAACTGTTGCATGCCTCTCCGTGTTCCACAATGTGCATAGATTCTATCCTGCTGTTAATGGGAGGTCTCAAGTGTTTCTAAATTAGATTGCCTCTTTTTTCCCTTGTAACCATCTAGTTACAACTCTTTTGCTTGACAGTTCTTCAGACAGTGAACGTGAAGCAGTCAACAGTTCAAAAAGACACAGACAGAAAGATAGAGCCACTAAGGTGGTTGCCTGAGAAGATTTGGTTATTATTTTTTCAATTACATATTTTGCTTGAACATTGAAATTACCAGCTTGTTTCCTTTTCAGAAGAAGGATAAAGAGAGAGGGAAAAGTCACAGGCAAAAACGTCATAAGCATAAAAGTAAAGAGGTAGATTTTTGTTCTCATGACCATGCAGTCAGACTTCTTCTGCTTTTTATGTTTTAATGCTTTACACTATTGCTCCGAGCATATAAAACTTTAAGCACGCTGTTATACAGTCTATATAAACTTTTTATATTTCAGTAGTTGGGAGTTACTGTGTTTATTAATGTATGAGATGCTGATAGTACTTTTCTGCCTGTTTATTTTTTATGGCTCTTCGAATTTGGAGCTGTGGTCTGTGACATGATGGCTGGGTGCTTGATGGCTTGCCTGGTTTTGTTACTTGCTTGTGGGTTGTGATGGCAATGGGAGCCATATGCAGAAGCAGCAGGAGGAAAGTAGTGGTCCTGTGCAGCTTTCTAAGGTTTTATTTTGTCATACTTGATTTTAGTTCTCTTTTAGAGTTGTTCTCCTTTCTTTCTTTTTTTCATATACATAATCTACCATATCCAGTTTTTGGGGCGTGATAAGGATGATGGTGTCCGTCGGAGTGCTGTCTCTGGCAAAAAGGTCTGTTCATCTTTCTTGGATTGTCAGGAAACTATGCTACTAGTGTTTGCTGCCTTTAGCTTGTCTATTAATCGTCTTGAAACATGGGTGGGGTTAAAGCTGTGGAATTTTAGTGATTATATGTTCTTATTTGTAGATTCTCTTGAAGCTAGACAAGACAAAGGAGGACAAGGAAGCAGAGAGTAAACGAAATGAATTACTCAAATTCCTGAATGCAAGTTATGATTGATTATTTGAAGCCTAAAAGTTAGCCTAAGTTTCCCCCTAGTTCAGGCAAATGTTTGTAGCAACATATCTTCAAGTATCAGTGTTCTCATTGTATTCAGAACTTGCATCATTTTGCCTTTTGTGTTGATCGTATCCAGCCTCCAGGTGATGTTCAATACCATGCTGCTTATTTCTGCGGTTAACAGTGTGGGAAGTTTGGATAAGTTTTGAATTTTTTGTTAGTTTCACCCTTTTGTATTCTGTCAAATGCCGTTGTGCTTTTAGTTTTTTGTACGATTAACATAGACACTGTAATATTAAATTATCGAAAATTGTTCTGGCTGATCATTGTTGACCTTCTGTGAGTAAACCAATACAAACTGGGCTAATTTCAGCTCAACTAATTTAATAGCTGAACAAGTCTCAGCCTAGGAGACTGGACTGTACAGGCTTATAAAGCATGATTCGCCTTGTACAAACTCTCCCCCTCATAGTTTACCAAATGTAATCAAGTGATCAATCTTAAACTACTGCTGCTAAATCTGCCGGCCTTTCCGGTTGAGCCGTTGAGGCAGAGAGGAACTCTTATGACTCTTCATAGTGAGAAAGGCACTTTCACGCGGGACTTCAATTGAGGTTGTGTTTGGTGGGACGGAAAATGTTTTTCAATTTTTCCATGTTTGGTTGGCTTAAATATTTTGGAAAATATTTTCCTTATCAACTCATTTTCCTTCAATTGGAGGAAAATATTTTCCTTATCAAGAGAAGGGAAAACATTTTCCAAAATTCCTTCTCAACCTTCCCCACCCTATCTCCCAACCCACCCCTACACCCACCCACCCAAATCCCCACCCCACCTCTCTCTCCAGAAGGATTTTTCTTTTTTTTTTTAAATTTCAATTTTTTTCCCGTCACCACCCACCCTGCTATCCCCGCCAAACCCCACCCTCACTGCCCCCTCCCCCGCATAAAAAATAAAAATTTTATTACTTCTTTTTTTTTTTGTAATTTTCAAATTTCTTTTTTTCGTTTTTCTGCACCCCCTCCCTCCGCGCGCAAAAAAAAAATTTTATTTTTTTTTAAATTTCAAATTTCTATTTTTTTATTTTTCTGCACATATCCCCCGCCCCTGCCCCCCACCCCCCACCCCCCCTCCCTGGAAAAAATATTTTTTTATATATATTTTCAATTTTAATTTTTTCATCTGTTGGTTTACAGGTTCGAAATTTTACAAGTTCCAAAGTTATGAGTTTAGAGGTTTATGTGTTTGAAAGTTTACGGGTTTAGAAATTATAAAGTTTACGGGTTCGAAAGTTCGCGGTTTTTACGTAAAAAAGTAAAGCAACACATTAGTTGCTTTGGGTTGTGTCAATTTTTAGAGACTTGGGGAAGGGGAGGGCGAGGGGGAGGGGGGGGGGTGAGGAGAGTTGCATAAAAAATATTTTCCTAAAAAAAATATTTTCTACTCTCTAACCAAACAATAGAAAATATTTTCCGGAAAACGTTTTTCACTCACCAACCAAACAATGGAAAATAAGTCATAAAACTACTCATTTTCTATGAAAATATTTTCTAGGAAAACATTTTCCATGGAAAACATTTTCCTTCGTACCAAACACACTGAATTTCCTCTTCCCCTGCTTGCTTGATTTCAGAATTTTCCTGACGACGTCACTTATGTGCAAGGATAGTAGACATTTCCGACATCTAGTAAATGCATTGCATCTATAAAAGAACTGACAGCAGCTAGAGTTCGTCATTCTCTCTTCTGATTGTTTATTAAGTGCTAGTTCTGAACTCCCAATGCCAAAAACTATACAAGTTAGCTATTTCAAAGAGGCAAAAGGGCAGTCTGGTATACAAAGTATTTTGCGTTCATACAAGGTCCGGGGAAGGATTGCACTCTAAGGGGGTGTGATGTAGGCAGCCTACCCCTAATGCAAACATTAGTGGCTTGCTATTTCAGAGAGGATTAAAACAAATTTCTGTTACTTTCAATTTTCGAATGCTGATAGATATTATTTGCCATTTGTCCAGCTGTAGAAGGCCTTTAATTTGTCTGTGCAATTGCCCACAATTAGTGATCTCCATTTGTTTCTGCTAAGCATGCTAAGGAGGTGCAATTTTCTTTTTTTTCCTAGGAGTACTTTTCTTTTCTAAACTACCCGAAGCTCATAGTTTTATAACTCCCGACCCAATTAAAGTCACTTAATAAAATTGTGCATTGGAATTAGATAAAATGATGTAAAAATTCTTAAGTTGACACATCTCGACCAAAGAGGTCATAAAATCAGTACACAAAACTAGATACTATATTAAATTTTAAAAAGGACAAGTCGATAACTCTAATTATCAGACTTTAATAGTACCTTTTTGTTTTTCCCTTACTGCACCTTCCATGAAATGTACTGCCAAGTTAGAGAAGAATAAAAGGTAGAGACCGACGAAATAAACTATTAATATATGAATCTTTACATTAATAGTGTACCATATTCATTGTTTACTTTTTCTAGCCATATACACATATTATATTGATTATACATAACTATACTATATAGTACATAAATTATGCATATATTATACGTTCATCTGCTATTTTTAGTTTAAGTGATCGGATAGGTGACTATTTTGGTTAATTCTTCCCCAAGGATCGTACACCCGGATTCTTTGGATGAGGCAGAGAACCAAGTATATAAAGTATTTTAAAGAGAAAACTACCCTCTATAGCCTCTCAAAATTTTAATAGCCTATGTTTTTACCCACTTACAGGAAATGACCTTTCAGCCCAATTTATTTGCAACTTATAGCCATTATCTATTTCCAATGCATTTATCTTCCCAAGACAACATTTAATTATAGTTTTTTTATCTTTCTTTCACTCTATCCAATGCATTCCTTTTTATTTTTCTTTCATTCTATCCAATACACAGATTTTTTTTCATTACCATTTTCATTTCTATCCTCTTTCTTTCTCTGTGTCTTCTTCGTCTTCCTTTTATCTTTTTTTGATTTTTTTTTTCATTTTCCTTCCCTTCTCTATCTCCGATTTCAGATCTATATTTTTTCTCTTTATTTTTTTTTACTTCTCACTGGAAAAATTTGTTTGAGTACCTGGAAAAATCACAAAATTTTTCAATTCAATTATTAAAAAGATTTACTCAATTACGATGCATGATACAAGAGTGGCAGCAGAAGTCGTGGGGTTTTCTAGTCAAGCTGCTTCTTCGATCATAATAGTGTTTTGTGGGTGAAGAACTTTTACAGTGAGTATCGATGGTGGGTCTAGATTTAATGGGTATATATATATATATATATATATATATATATATATATATATATATATATATATATAGTTATATATATATATATAGTTATAGTTATATAATGTATTAAATATTTTATATACACATTGTAAAATTTTGTATATAAGTGTATCTTGTATTTTTCAGTTTATATTACAAAAATTATATATAAATTATTATAAAATGTATAAAAATTGTATATACTATTACAATTTTGTATGTAAATGTATCTTGTATTTTTCAGTGTAATTTGTGTATTTTTTATATATTGATAGTCTGTTTTGTATTTTTTTGTATATTGACAGTCTGTTTTGTATATATTTGTAGTGACAGTCTATTTTGTATATTTTTGTATAGTAACAGTCTATTTAGTATATATTTTGTATAGTGACAGTAAATTTTGTGTATAAGTGTATCTTGCATTTTTCAGTGTATTTTGTATATTTTTTGTATAGAGACGGTCCGTTTTGTATATTTTTTGTATATCAACAGTCTAACTTGTATAGTGACAGTCTATTTTGTATATTTTTTGTATAGTAACAGTATATTTAGTATATATTTTGTTAGTGACAGTCTATTTTGTATAGTGACAGTCTATTGTATATAAATTGTACAGTGATAGTCTATTTAGTATATTTTTATATAGTGACAGTCTATTTTGTATAGTGACATTCTATTTAGTATATTTTTTGTATAATGACAGTTTATTTTCGTATATGTTTTGTATAGTGACAGTCTATTGTATATAAATTGTATAGTGACAGTCTACTTTGTATATATTTTGTAATATACCAATATTCAAATCTATTATCAACCAAAGAAATACATAAATATCCATATAAATATATACTAATGGTGGGCCTGGAATTATGATTCCCATCAAAATCAACTAATGACATACATGTGGAAAAGGAAAATTGTTTGGTGAAAACCAAAGGATTTCCCTAGCAAAGAAAGTTAGCCCAGAAAAAGAATGAGGCAATAACAGAGAGCTTGGGATTTTTATTCAAAGGTGGTTGCCTCTCTCTCTTTAGCCAATGATTTTCCTTTTCCACTTTTTAAACAAAATCAACAGCCCGTCTGGGGCTTTGCGGATGTCAACTCCCTTCTTAGAAGGTGGTTAAATTCTCTACCGTGCTCTTTAGTTGTCTATGATACTCCTTTCCCGTTTTA